CTTGCTGGTATCATTTTAAGCAGTTGTGAAACATTCGTACAGCTCGTTCTGGTGAGAGAGAGACCCTTTAATGCCTTTCTGGTGATCATACATCACAATAATCTTACTTTACACACACTACAGCTCACAGACACAATTTAGACACAATTGTAATTACTCCACAAACAGAACCAGTCCAAAAATTCTGCCTTTTTAAAGTTTCACTGATTTGAATAATCAGGTAGACCTTTGATACAAAGCTATTTGGTATTCGTTTGTTATGCATAATCTTCATCAGATATATCACAGATTATTATTTTTATAATAAAATACGTAAAATCAACTAAATTTGTTATATTTTGGCATATCTGTGTGTATTAACTGATTTGATGATTCTGATTTGAATATCTTACAAAAAGATTTGAAGCTCTCGACCTTTGACCTCTCTAAGTGGCTTTAAGAATCTGTTGGACTCCTGGCAGGGACCAATGCTGACATGTTCCTGTTTTTAGTTTCTACATTCGCCTTAGAATCTAGCTGTTTTTATTTTTTTATTTTTTTGTTACCTTTTCTTTTAGCCATCCTATTTGTAAAAAAAAAAAAAAAAAAAAAAAAAAACCCTGCAGTATGACTTTTTATAAAGTTTATTGTTGTTGCTGTTGTCCATTGTTGTCATCTTTCTTTATTGAAATCAGGTCTCTCTTGTAAATGAGTCCTCGAGGTTCAATGGAATTTACCTGTCTAAATAAAAGTTGATTAATTGAGTGATGCCCTTTAAACATGAGAAAAGAATTCACGTTTCAGTTTACATTTAATTTGGGGTTAGAGATTGATTTTTTTCCTCTAAAAATAGAGGTGGTGCCCTCAATGAGGTTATTTGCATAATAAATGCATATCTTATTAGCTTAACTCCATCCATCCATCCATTTTCTTTACCCGTTTATTCCATTTTGGGTCACGGGGGTGCCCATGTCCAGCAATCACTGTGCGAGGGGCGGGGTACACCCTGGACAGGTCGCAAGTCCATCACAGGGACACATAGAGACAAACAAGACAAACAACCATTCACTCTCTCACTCACATCTAGGGGCAATTTAGAGTTACCAATCAGCCTAACATGCATGTTTTTGGTCTGTGGGAGGAAACTGGAGTACCCGGAGAAAACCCACGCATGCACGGAGAGAACATGCAAACTCCACCCAGAAAGGCCCCTGGACCGGGGGTTGAACCAAGGACCTGCTCGCTGAGAGGCAGCAGCTCTACCAGTTGCACCACCGTGCTGCCCTTAGCTTAACTCATAACTGATAATTTACAATATATATATCCAACCCCATATCCCTTTACAATGTTAACAAAAGCCTGATGAAGAAAGCTCATCAGAGACTCTACTTCCTCAGACAGCTGAGGCGAGCTGGTCTGGAAGCTCAGTCCTCACCTCCTTCTACAGGTGTGCAGTGGAGAGCATCCTGTGCTCCAGCATCAACGTGTGGCATGGAGGCTGCACAGCTGCAGAAAGAAAAGCTTTGCAGAGAGTGGTGAAGGCTGCACAGAAGATGTTGGAGTCAGCCTCCCCACCATCACAGACATCTACACCTCCAGATGCAGGAAGAGGGCCACCTGCATCATGAAGGACCACACTCACCCAGCACATACACTTTTTGCCCCACTCCCCTCAGGAAGGAGGTTGAGGAGCATTAAGTGTAGAACCACTAGACTGAGGAACAGCTTCTACCCTGAGGCTGTTAGACTCATGAATCTCTAACCAGGAGAATCACTGTGAAAAATCACATCATGTTGCTGCTGATCTGTTTCAATGTTGCTGCTGATCTGTTTCATGTTGCTGTGTTCATTTGTGCTCATCTGCTCACACAGACTCATGTTTGTGCTGCTGATCAACAATGTTTTTATGCTGTTAGTTCTTAGTGTATATTTAGTTGATGTTTTTCTTAGTTCATATCTTTGATCTTATCACTGTTTTTCTTTTACATTTTATTGTTGGATGTAACTGGGACCCTGTGAACATCATTTTGTTCCACCACATGTACCACATGAGGTGCGAATGACAAATAAAGAACCTTGAATCCTTTCTCTACCGTAATAAACTTTTGTAAAATACACCAAAATGCAGGAAATTATTTTATTCAACATTCTCTGTGGTAGGACCACAGACCCCCTCCCACCACCACCAACACAGCCTGTTCTGTAATGTTTTTTATACAGAACTGAATGTTAAATAACTGTATAATAAATAAATGGACTTTACTTAAAGAAGTATTTGCATTTCATGTATTATTGCATTTGGCCTGCAGCCCTCTGATAGATTTTAAATTTGGCCCTCTCAGGGAAAATGTTTGGGCACCACTGTTCTAAACCCTCAAAGACGATCCTTCCTTGTCCTGTCCAACATTTTTCTTGTTACTGAGACTTGCTGCAGGTCCAGATCAGAAAATTTGATCTGAAATCTGAAGTACTGACTCATTTCCACGCGATCAAGACATTCTGTAAGTCTGGATCTAAGGTTCTGAAACAACATGTTTGACGAGCAGGCAGTGCTGTGGATTCCAGTTCTTGGTCTGCAGCAGAGTCCAGGTCCTGGTCTCTATTGGAGTCCAGGTCTTGGTCTGCAGTGGAGCCCAGGATCTGGACTCTGCTACAGAGTCCAGGTCCTGGTCTGTATTGGAGTCCTAGTCATGGTTTGTAGTGGAGCCCAGTTCTTGTCCAGTCCAGTTCCTGGTCTGCAGCAGAGTCCAGGTCCAGGTCTGTAGCAGAGTCTGGGTCTTGTCTGGAGCAGAGTCCAGGTCCTGGTCTGTATTGGAGTCCAGATCCTGGTCTATATT